GTAGAATTCTTGATTTTTCACCGCTAGAACGCGAAACTTCGTTAACTCCAGCTTTTAAGCGCACACCGGAATGAAAATTAATTCTTTTTTCACAGTACAAGTGCTTCTTTTTCCTCCCCTTCCCCCCTTCTTTTCGTAGCGAAAAAATGCGAAATTGAAAACGGCGCAAGCCAATATTGGTTTCGATTTAATCGAGCCGTGAGCAACAGTACAATACTTGGCGCAATGAGACGTGTGTGCTACTTGGAGTTATTTTTGTTTGATTCGATGGTGTTATGTTTTACAGTTAAATATATATAAGTAAAGTAAATATTTCATACGTATATATATTCACAAATAAATATTCGTGTACGAAATTTAAATGAGAAAGAGAAGCGCTCAAACTTTTCTGTAATGAGTGCAGTCTCAAGTTTAGTCCCACATTTTGCAGCATCAAGCTCTAATGAACTTAATCGTCGATTAATTCCGTTGTAACTAACAAAATTGACTAAAAACTATTAGCTGGTCACAACGGAGTAATTGACGATTAAGTTAATCGTAGCTTGGTAAAAATCACCCTAAATTGATAAATGTTATTAGCATCTTATTGGTATTATTTATCGATAAAGAAGATTTTCATTTTTCTCCTATTTTTTGCTGAAAGCTTCTGAAAGCTTGGCTTCTCTCTTCCCCTCTCTCTCTCTCTCTCTCTCTCTCTCTCTTTCGTATGCATATTTCTTTTAGTTTATTACCTCGCAAAGTTTTCTGCTCAGCAATTGTTTTTCGTTTTATGGTCAGTATGTCGGGGAATGCACCGAGAAAAATCGAGCTGTGCCATTATACCAGAAGAGGTCCCGTTTCTCTCTTTCATGATTCGTCGTGATATAATTCTTCCTGTCGCGATCAAGGCTAATATTATTTGTGCGCAAGCTACGTACCATGACTTCGGCTAATAGTATGCAGCATGCATCGGGAGCGAGATGCACAATACACACTGCTTTTTGTCCGTAGGATGCAAAGAATTTCGCGCAGGTGTGCGAAGGTATATGGACATGTGTCGAGTGTGCGTCGGCATCGAACTAGGTCGATTATCTATCGATGTGAACTACATTGTCTCGATACGCGGAGCTGTCGGGGCGTATGTGTAATAACAATACCGACAATATGTCGTGCGGCTCAGCCGGGTAGCACGCTCTTGGCGCGACCGAGATCCATGGCTCTCCGGGAAAACACGTCGAGGCCGGCGTGCTCCCGGTTTAGACCGGACTTCGATATGGCGGGCAACGTAAAGGCAACGACAGCTAATAAAGTGTCGGGTAAATAGCACCGCGGACGTGATCACGACGTTTCCCACTCCAAATGGGTCCGGCCCGGAAAGGTACACGGGACCTCGTTTTTCAAAGAAGAAGCCCCTGAGATGAGGTGGCGATCGCGCAAAGCTTCCCACTCTCTGCTGAAATGAAGGCTCCCGCGCGTAATTATCCGCAGGCGTCATTACCCGTCCTGCACCTGATGTTTACCAAGTAGCATTTAATTTCTCTCGAGAGCGGGTTAGGAGACTCTGCTCGTTGATCCGAATTTGAGGGAACGCATCGTGCTTCGCGAGAGGGGGAAGCGCGATCGACGAGAATACATTCGAATTTCACTGACGATTAAAAAGTGGAAGGTAGAAACCCTTCAGTCAAAATCTGGCCATAATTATGGTTTCGTCAAAATCCTACGAGAGAGGGACATATTTTCAATAAATAATTCAATATTATATATTTTCAGTACTGTCAGCGCATTTCGGATCACAGTTCTCTTTCCTTCTTTCTACTAATTACACGATTGGACAAAGCAAGCACTACTATCTCCATTGCTTTCTTATTCTAAGCCGACTTCAGTGCTTTCCAACAGCAATGCTCTATTCTATATGTCTATAAGGAGTAACGATTGTTTCGTTCACGACGTTCTGTTACATATCGCTGGAGATAGCGTTTATCGTCGCAACGTTTCTGATGTAGTCGTTTCTTACATGTGATATCACGTATATCAGTATTCCGTTCCCGATTGCTTACGTTATCGCCACAAACAGTCTCGGTGTCTGTGTCTAACGGAGTAAATTAAACATTACGTAAAATCAGTTGAAAATTGCTCATCTCTTAAAGAGGTCTTGAGGACGATAAGATAAATCTGATCAATCTGTTCCGTGCAGATTGTGTTTGTGCTGAGATCGCTCTAATTGTTCCTCGAGATTTTCCTCCGACCACGAGCGAACGTTGCGTCAATCGGCGAGATTGATATCGCACGTCTCAGTTCGGTTCGATATCATGAATTACCAATTCAAATTTTCTTACAGCCAAATGGTGATCAACGAAGTAACTCGGCAACTCACATTCAATTGTGATATCAGACCGGTACAGAGCCCGGCGAGTCGACACGCGTGAGAAATCGATCGGAGAGTTATATTCTAGTGACTCGCGCGTTTCAAACTAAACCGTTCATCGATCCTTCAGTCACCCCGAAGATGGATTTTCACGGGACTCAATAGAGCTCAAATTAATGACGAGCGTCTGCCAGTCCCTCTCTCTCCCTCTCGCCCCCTCTCCCCTCTCCTCTTCGTTTCTCGTCGACCGTTTGTTTTGCAAAGCGGGGATGGGATAGGATAATGCGGAATGCTTGAGTTTGTCAACCGCCGCGTGCGCGGGGTAGTCGCGCATCACCGAGGCTACTTCGTATTGTTGGTACAAGCCAAATACAAATACGGAGGGTGCGGGATCGAGCGGTATAACGTTTCCTCTTTGTTAAATCCGTTCCCTTTCTCTTGACCTAGTCTTCCGGATCGGCTCCATTGTGTACGGCAGAATTAACCCTCGAGTTCGAGGGTTACCTCAGACCTTGCACATGTCACGTCGCCTGAGAAAAGATTCGTGGAGATTTAGACGAGCGGGAGAGAGGTAAGGTGGGAGAGAGAGGGCGTGGAGCGCCTTTCGCTCGCACTTGCTTCAATCATACGCTCGATCTTATCGACTCGTTTAGATGTCGAGATTACGCGTTGTTAACACGGCGTATGGGGAGTTCGTGACGTGGATCTTATCTTCTTTTGGCAATTTCCAAATTCTATCACTCTTAGTTCCGCTTCGATCTCATACCTCCGATTGTGAAGATCAAAAGTTGACTTGCACAATCGATGGTAATCTTAAGTCCTTCAGTTCTTTAGTTAGATAGCTTGGCTCTTTATATATTGTGAGATTAGGATAGTTAGGCAAGAGATAACTCCGTCTGCAAAGTTATTACCTTCATATAAAAAGGCTGGTCGCGTGAAAATTATCTTCGTATAAGAAAGTAGATAAGATGGATCAATGACTAGCAAACATTGCGCGATATCATATATGTTTTGTAGCTAATCGATACAGATGACAGAGATAGAATTGCTGTCTGAACTACTTGTGAAATTTAACAAGAAAGTCTTACTGTGGCACCCGTCCAGATTAAAGCTAGTCCAACTTCTTATAAAAATTGACTGTAGTATACAAAAAAATCAGTGACGACAGACAAATGAATGTATAGTCTTTATATCCACCTAAATTTGCTTGCAGATATTATTGGAATGCTGCCGCTATGAATTCTATGTACCACGGATAATTTTCAAACAGATATAAAAAAAAACAGTAATAAATTTTAACTATGATATTTAGATAATTTTAACTATGATATTTAGAATTCTGGATCAACAAAACATTTTATTGAATGTTCTCTTTTGGTAGTCTTTTGTATATAATCACAAAATATTGAGTATCCATAAGTCCGTGCGGATTTTTAAACAAAATTAAAACGCATTTTATTCTCGTTAAAAACAATTTTGATCAATAATATATGTGCCATTTTCTGTGCGACAATTTTTTTTGCTATTTCTTACGTAATTTCCTAATTTCTCTTGCTTTTTCGACAAAAAAACGTTCCAAGTGATTTTTCACATCTTTTAGAGAAGCGAAGTTTACCGTCAAGGCAATTCTGTAATGAGCGAAACAGACGATAATCAGAGAGGGCAATGTCGGGCGAATATCATGGATGAAGCAGAACGTCTCAGCCAAACTAACAATTTTTACGGAAGTAAAAATGTATAAAAGCAAACTCATTACTGCGTTCAAGTCGCAACAAAGACAACTGTACTTCTTTAAACACTATCACTTACACTGCGCAATATGCTCTGAAATATTAGCTATCAAAATATATACATAGATGGTCAACTGTATGGAACCATTCTCTTAACGTGCGAATGCCAACTAGACAAAAATCCTCGCACGAACTTATGAAATAACCCAATAATACATCGAGGCTTTCCAGACATAGCCAGGCTATCATTTTGTAATGCCAGTGACTTCCAGGAAAGTGAACATTTCATTATTATTATTATTACTATTATATTGTTATAATATACATATATTAATATACTATTATATATATATATATATATATATATATATATATATATATATATATAATAATATACACTGAGAAAAAAATTTATTAAATTTCAAAAAAATGTTTGTTTGGATAGTACTATGAAGATATTTGTTTAAATTAAGTAATTATTTTCTAAAATTAAAGAAACAAATTTATATTTAAAACTTCTTTAATTAATTTTAGAAAATAATTACTTAATTTAAACAAATATCTTTACACAGTACTATCCAGACAAACGTTTCTTGAAATTCAGCAAATTTTTTTCTCAGTGTACACATATTAAAGGACAAAGCGGCGTTTAGGAGAATGCAAGAAAGAAAAGATAGGAGAATGACAAGAAGAAAAGGTACGTCCTCATAAGCTGTCGGCAACGGTAAGACGTAAAATTCAGATCCCGTTCATAAATCTCGCGATGCTTCTGATCCGTGAGAGAATGTCGCGCTTCTCACGATTATCGCGAGGGCATATTTTTATGGGCTGGTAACATGACGGTATGCACTAAGGTTCGTTCCTATGTAACAGCGCGTTTCACTTCAGTGTATGGACTTGGGTTATTAAATAATGTTTGCGCCTACCTTGAGCTGTAAAGTACTCTGCCGTCCTGGTACAGCCTGACGAACTTATTCGGGCTGGTAATCGTATGCAAGTAACTGTACTTGCCGTTGTAGAAGTACGTGTCGGGCTTCCAAATCCTTGCCAGCATGGAGATACTCAGTGCGAGAGTTTCCTTACCGCCTTGGAACGCTAAGCGCCGGTCGACCCACGACTGCCGGAAGTAACAGTCCATCGAATACGTCTGCGGGGATTTGCGGATTCGATTAAGTCGGTCGTACGATGTCTGCACGTGTCGTTGTGTCGTTAGCGTTCATATCCAGAAAACTAGATACTTCGAACGGACACGTTTCTCTCTGTTCTCATCATTCAAAATTCGTTATTGCAGCTTCTCAGAGAATATCATAGACATTTCTGCCAAGTCGTTACCTCGCATTTATATTAAACACGCGCGCTTCTATTATTCTTTTTGTGTTAAATCAATAAAGCTCAGGAAGTCGATCGTATGGCTTCCTTTCTGGAGTGGAAATAATTCTCACAAATTTATTGACACGAGGACTTGACGTAAAGGAAACTTCAAACATCAGAGTGACGTAAAGGAGCTGAGGGCTTCAAACAACAAAGATTAGAGTGTTTAGATGATGTTAATAGTTGTCATTTGTCTCATGTGAGATTTTTAAATTTCTATTCTGAGTTAGATTCAAGTTTTTTAGTTGAAGTACGATATGTGTGACATTTATATCTGTTGTAGAATAAGACGCTGGAACTAAAAAATATAGTATTTACACATCAAGTTTCCAATTATACGATCGATTCCCCGATTCAAGTTCAACTTTGAATAAAATCGCAATTATCTCGCGTTTATGCCGCGCGCTGAAAAAAAAATATGACTGACCATATCCACCTCGGAAATGGGACCCATGCTGCGTACCATGATATCGACCTCGACGGTGGCCGGAGGCCCGCCGAAGTCCGGCCTGATGCTGTTGTCGTAGCCGCGCAGTAGATTGTCCAGCAGATCGCTGATATTGCTATGATTGTTGCTCTGTGTGCGCTGCCTCGCGGAAGTTCTCGCAGCCGCGGCCGTTCTGAAACAAGTTTCGCGATTAAACGAGCTCAACATCTATCTCATCGTTTAAAAACATGTTACAGTTGCTTATAATCGGATATATGGAATTAACTTTGAAAGATTGTTTCAACCTCTGTACTGAGAGAAATTATCTGGTAAAAAATTAACAAATTTCCGATCAAAATACTAATGAATTTATCCGATCAGAAAACATCCGAAATATCGGTTTATAATTTTTTGATCAGTTTATCTGATGAAATGCTATTATGATCGGAAGTATCTGGTAAAATTTAATCAAATATCCTGATTGGATATAAAAATTAATCGGAATCTTATTAGAAATATTCGTTTGTTAATTTTTATAGGATAATTTCTCTCAATGTGTGGAAAAGCGTTTATGAAAAGTAGGTCTCTTATTTTTAGTTTCTCCACAATATATTCAGGGCTCGGCAAAATGGGTGAGGGACACTTTTCGCTTATAAGCAAATAAATGTCACACACGGAAAAAAAAAATTTAGTTGAATTATCCAAATATCTGGTCGAATATGAACGATCCAGAAATTCCGATTGAAGTAACCCGAATTCTATTTAAGTTAACAAGATTTTTGGTAGACGAACATGTTTGATTAGTCTATCAAAAATCTTGTTAACAGAATTCGAGTTACTTCAGTCGGAATTTCTGGATCGTTCATATTCGACCAGATGTTTGGTTAATTCAACCAAATCTTTTTTTTCATGCAGAAAATACGAAAATTCTGCAATGATGAGAGGCACTTCTATCGACAATAGCTTCTTGGATATCTACTGGACTGTTGTGTCGTTTTATTCAAATTAACGCTAAACAACGTCAAAGACGTCGGTGAAATTCAACACAAAAGATTCAAGGTATGTAAATCAGAGAGTAGCAGCGCGTCACGTGACAAACGGATTAATCGACTGATTTATACCAACAATACTCCTAACTAATCGGAATATTGTTTCCTAAATGCTGTGTATACTATACATGTATCCCGACCAGTGTCTCGAGTTCATGCAGCGTGCGCGTACAAGTGTATGTATACTCGTAGAATATGAAGACCGGAATGCAACTTGCGGATTCAGGGGGAACGTTTCTCCTTCGAAACACACACGCGCGTGCCATTCTCCTTCAAGTATGATCATTCTGTTGAGCATCAATGATAGGGAAGTCCGAGTCATATTGATGTTTTTTCTGTTGTGTTTACAAAACGCGAGCCGCAACGTTTACGGTGCGAAATCAAACAATATGTTCTTTGATCTCGCGCTTTCCCGAGTGTACGTGTCGCGTGTATGTGTACGAAAGCCGCGAATTACTTTCTCCCGGTCGCGAATCGCTGGTCTAAACGCAGTAACGGCTCTAGGCACTACATACGCGCGTACACAGACGGCGGTAATTAAAACCGACAAAACTCGCGCGGCCTGAATCACGTTGGGATCGTATTTCGAAAACGTAAATAAAGCCGCGCTCTCGCGTCAATACCTTCTTCTCTTCCCCCTACGAATATGGTCTCATTTTTTGGATCTTTATTATGCACGGCCGAGTTAATTTTCTCTGCAGCTTCGTTTTTTGTCAATTATTAATACCAGACTTGAGATAATAAAAAATTATAATTTTTCTAGATTATAGTTTCAGAATAATTTTAGAATATTTGATTTAAGATCGGAATCTTCAGTGGAAGAGTAACTGTATATTTAATTTGACCGGGTCTAGATAGCCCCAGAAATATGTTGTCCGTGTGTTTTTCTTTTTTAGTATTTGAGAGGCACAGTAGATATAAAATCGCGAAATGGTCCTTTCAGGACATAGATATATTTTTCTCTGAGTTTCATTAAAATCGGAATAATATTACAGTTAAAAAATAGAAAAAAACTTTGCAGTTGTAAAGTAAATTTTTGAGCCTCTGAAAATTTCATATTAATATTCTTTATCGTGAGTTAAAGTTAAGCGTTACTGGTAGTTTCTTGTAAGTGTTACAAATAATAAAAGCAATACACTGTTTCAGATAATAAAAAGCAATTTTTATTCATAAAATATTAAAAATCAAGCAGACAAGGTAAAGTTGGTTCATAATTATGAGGAGACTACTAATTAAGATATACATATATTTTTAAACTTCTTATTTCTCTTTCGCACGTTACTGGCCAACTGAATCTGGGCCTGAATTTCTTATAGCCTTAGACCAATTCTCCAGTCTAATATATAATTGTAAATTGTATATCATCTCTCTCTCTAAATTTTATTTACTAAGAGTGGTATTTGGACGGATAAAGAGACAAGTTGACGCGCATTAATTAATTTTAGCGTAACGAGTTAGCATAGTAAATCATATAAATTCGCATAAATTTGTCGGCTAATTTCGAATAAACTGCCCTATAATTTTACTACAGAATATCGGCCGTTAACCCGATATGTATGTTCCATACTTGTATATTTGTAAATTGTACACATATGATGTGTCTCGTTTATTTCCTGGCTTGATTACAATTGCCAAACTTCATAAGGCCTTCGTATAACGTGTGCAATCGCGTTTAACGCGTGCAAAACAAAACGCAGTCAGCCTGTCGCGCATATTGCTCGTCGCATACATCGCTATATAAGTGTAAATAAATATAAACGGATGATCGACGATATTTACTTTCGGCGAGATGAGATATTACATTAATATCCATCGATAATACGCAATCAATTGGAGCATCAGCGCGCCGCGCCGCAACAAAATTGACTGAGCAGACGTTGCGGGAGAAGAACATCCCGCCACGACGATTCGTATTCATGTATTCCGCGGTGAAGCTGCTCGAATGAAATCTTGTTTAATGCACGTTAAAGAAAAGAAAAAAAAAGAAAAATACTTCCAATTACGAGTCGGCCATTACGAGAGACGCCGGGGCAAGTGTATACACGGACAGCAAGTTTATTTATATGCCTCTGTGCGAGAGCCAAGCCGTCGCCGACCGCAAACGAATGCGTAATCGTTCGCGTGATTCATAGGACGCTCGACGACGAATGCCGCGGTCGGTCGGATGCAAATGGAAAGAGTCGCGCGCGACTCGCCGATAAATTCAACGTGATTGTCATCGTTAAAATGCATAGGGCGAAATGTAACGGGGGATCACTCTCGAGAAAGGTACTTACGGAAAGGAAGAGGAAGCGTAAGAGGTGATGAGGTTGGCGAGGGCGAGCAGGACCCTCGGCTTCATAATGTCCCAGGTCGAATCCTTCGGGATTCGCTCATCAATCCGCTTCAACAACAGGACCATTCGGCAATTCGCGCTGTGACAGACAGAAAGAGAAAACGGTGAGATAGAAGTACCAGCGGCTGGACATGTGTCTTGGGAGAAATTAAACGATGAGAAATTAACAAACGGATATTTCCGATTAAAGTGCCGATGAATTTCTTTAACCGATCTATCCGATGAAAAATATTGTAATTATAATTAATATTCATAATTTTTTTATCGATTTGATCGATCTGATGAAATGCCATTATGATTGGAAATATCCGATTAAAATTTACTGGATATAAAAATTCATGGATATTTTGATCGGAAATATCTAATGTGTATCCAATCTAAATTTTTAATATAGAATATACAGAATATAAAAAATATATTCTATATTCTACGTTGAAAATTTAAATACTCGTATAATTTAAATACTCGTATTTAATCTCTTCAGTGATGATTTAAGATTACTGAACAATTTTCTCCAAGTCGAGTTTTATTTAATACTTTTTTATAATTTTTACAATTTTTAATTTAATTATCTTCAAAATTAAAAATTTTTTATTTAAAAATAAGCATACTAGATTGCTTTTCTCTTCATTTTCTTTGAAGAATTTTGAAAAGTAGAGTATAAAATGTATCTAATTTGCCATGAGTTATAACAAAAAATAGTTTAAGTAAATCAAAAGAAATTTAGTATTTTACTTTTCTGGAACTCTTTTCCGGACATACTACTTAAGGGTTTAAAGACTAAACCAAGAAATATTCAGAGTTAGGTGCGCGTTTAGTCATTGGTACCTTCGTCTTATAGCGTTAAGGTGTGATAAATTTATGCGACGTCTCCGCTCTTCTGTTCTTGTATTTTCAAGAAAAATTCTTTCAGATCGTTTCGAGCAGGGAAAGACTGCGGAAAAATACTGCTGAAGGATTTACTTGAAAGAGCGCGCGGAGGAGAAATGTCACGGCTTGTCACATTTTTAATTTTCCTTCTCACGAATTCTTTATCCGTGGCTCGTTAATTTTTTATACTCCGGCAATGATTTAAAACCCGAGGTGTACGAGTGGTAATTTCTTTTAATTGACAGTGTGAACGAATAACGCCGCGCGCTTGATTGTACTCCCGACGATAATGAAGAACGACGCGATTGTCGCGTGGGATTGTCGCGTGGGATTGTCGCGATGTGAAAACTGATTATCGATTCCATGAATGACACGTTGATGACGTCCGCGCGTGGAACGAGCGCTTTCTCCTTTTGGCGACAAACGAGGCGAAAAATAACGGCAGGCGTCCCGCAACTCGGTAATGCCGTTGGATCTCCCGTTACGCTCCCGTGCACCGAATTTCGTCCATCTCCGCTCTTAACTTCGATAACTTTTCTTCAAAACGCCCGATGTCCCCGTTAATGCGCTCCCGGGCCACATAAATAAAGTCGAGCTGACGTCACAGGACGCAGACCCGAGACGCTTGCCAATCTTTCGGGCGTCTCTCGGACGTCCCTCTGTCTCTCAGACGTCACTTGGGATTTGCCCGGGCCCCGGAGTGTCGACAGAATTGGTTAAGTAGGCAGGTGTCAAGTCGGTAAATCGGCGGCGAATCTCGACGGTAACGCTCTCGCTCCGTTCAGTTCGCGGCAACGTACGTCGGAGAGCGAACGAACCGCGATGCGCGCAAACAGCCGCTCGTACACACGTAAATATGGAGCTTTGAAAGAGAGGCATCATCCGCTACGCGTCGTCTAAGCAACGGACCTGAATAATCAGCGCCGTTTGTGCACGGCGAACGGCGGGATTTTGTAAGGGGATGCTGAGGCGGATGACGAAAATGTTGATAACGTAGAGACGATCGTCGCTAATGCAATCACACTGTCTTTTTCGTATTTTTTGTATATACAGAACTTACGTAAAGGTGTGTTGCTAAAAATAAACCGGCTTTTAATCAATTTTAAGTGACAAGACTTAGGTCTTTTTTGTTTTATGTAGAAAGATATATGAGTCACAAAAACATTGGTAACAAAAATTAAAAAAGAATTATAATTATAAAAATTAAAATTAATATTAGATAAATATTACTATAGGCAAATATTCGTGGAATGTTTTGTTCTATGTGGAGCGTCCCGGGATAAGATTTGGAGATACTTTTCGGTAGGACCCGGCACGTGCTTCTATGAAATAATGCATAAGGTGACGCTTTGTGTGTTGCACGCTACCTTACCTACACCCGTTATAATGCAAATACGGAATAAATTGCGGCATGTGCGCACAACGTATCCCTGTCAGAGGCGGAGAATGGGTAAGTCACACGATGTTTAACCAACACACGAGATGCGCGTATGGGGGAGCGCGATGGGGGTAACGGCGTTCCTTAAAGTTTAACTCGTAATTCGAGACCACGGCAGCGTGAAAATCCGACACGCTGACGCATCCCCGACGTACCCCCCGTTACAAAGCCGCGCTGAGTCGCGCTAAGACAATGTCAATTTTCCGTGCTGTAGAAACGCGTGGCAGAGCAGCGCACCTCAGCGTCGATTGTTCTACGCAGACAGACCCGGAAAGATTGTTTCTATCTGTGAAATCTGCACAGTATCATTGACAAGCTTAACACTTCAAAAAATAGATAAAAGAAACGTAACTAGTAAAAATTGGCGCAACTAGCAGAAAATAGAAACTATTTTATCAATTTTAGATATCCATAAAACTTGGATCTTTTTTGCTTTATTGTAGGAAATCGTATGGATTACCTATTGACAGAATAAAACCCGCGTTTAGGGTTCCAGGGTTAAGAAAAGAAATATGGCTAAAAGTCCGGCGCGAACTTTTGAAGCCTCAAACACCTCAATTTCCAACTGTTCTCGGATCCTTTCGATAGGGCCTCGTGAAGTTAACGAGGATGAATGACGCTGAGATGTCAAATCAGGAGAAAAAAGAACATCGCGTCGAACAGACGAAGAGTATCGCGCGGAGACAAACGGACGTCTCAGCGACAACTTCCGTGCGAATGACGAGATGCTCCGACGAAATTCGTAGTGCTCGCTGAGAGGCAGCCCGCATCCGCGACGGGTTTATCAGGATCATTCGTCGAGACCACAATCGAATGTTTTTCGGTCTTCAAACATTCGTCAGGTAAGACTCGAATAGGCCTCGAATTGGTCTCAAATGTCAAGGGCTGCGTTCGCTTTGGGCGCTTATGCGCTGTAAGCGTCATTCTATCTTCTTCCCGCATGTAATGAGCGATAAAGATAGAATGACGCTTACAGCGCGTAAACGCCCAAAGCAAACGCAGCCAAGGTGACGTCTGAAATTTGAGGTTTGATTCTGCAATTTATCACTGACGCACTCAATAATCATACAACTCATACACGAAATTAATATATTATGACCACTAATAACTACTTATATTTATGCGATACGAAACGGCCTGGTATTTTTTAATTATTATACAAGATGCCTGTAAAGAGATTCCTCTAGTTGGAACAGTGAGCGTCGTATTCTTATACCTTGAGCCAAAGGAATTTGTGGTAAATTGTAACAAGAGCCATTGCGACATAGCCAACAGTAGGAGAATTTAATTTGCCCTTTTCTTTGAAGTACTTCGACCCACCAGGTCTAATTCCGCCGAATCGAAAATCGCGAGACCACGAGAATGACCCGAATTCAACCGTCGAAACCGCGACTTATGGCCCGCGTGTTGGACGCGGTGATGAGTATCGGCGACAACAGGGGTTCATCAGCTCACGAGGTCCTCAGTTTTATCCGGCAAGGCAACGCGTCGTTGAAGAATCTGACGCTGCAGGTGACACAAGCGCGCTCATCATGCCGCGCTCAGGCCTTGGATGCTTTTCATTAGCGATTTGCGAAACGCGCTTCAAAGGGCGCCGCTCGAATAACGTGAACTTTCGACGAACTCCTCATACACCACACACGTGTCGGTTGCTCATTCAAACGCAACAGAAAAGTTCCCCAAGTCTCGAAATATCCTAATTACACGCGCGTCGAGAAATGTTTCAATTTAAAACGTCGAAGAGCATTTCTTCTCTGGGTGTCTATCTGCGGGTTCTCACACAAGCTAAGCGCGACAAGTGTTAATTTTCAATAAGAAACATTTCTTGTATTTGACTTCTCTGCCATTTGTCATAAGCTGCCGTTAAAGAGCTGCAAATCTTGTCGATGAAAAATGTAAATGAAGTAACGCGAAAGCTTCAGTGAGATGCTTTACACGTTGCACTGACTGTGCAGGTACGTCGAGCGTTAAAACACGCGGTGAACGCCGGGCTTTTAAGGCACAGGAGCGGACGTTACAAGATACTGGCCACTCTGAATCCCACTCCTGCTCCTGTCTCAGTCGCGAAGGAGTCGATTAACAATGATCAAAAGAACGAAAAGAAAACACCGAGGTCCGATATACAAGCAACATCGATAGACAAAACGAGATCCTCCCGTCGAGCGCGCACGTACGGTCGCAGCTTATCTTTTTCAGAAAAACATCGATGTCATACTGTTTACATAAGCACGCCTTTTTGACAGTCTTATAACTACGCACAGTGCAGTGATTATCTCACTTATCGATAATCTACTGACATCAACACGACGAGCAGTTTACTTAAAGATATACACGAATCTTTAGTTTACTTAAAGATACACGAATTTATGATAAAAACTGCACCGCAAGAGTTCTAAATAAAGAATGCGCAAGCAACTGATAACTGTCCGCTTACCATTGCAGAAAAGTAAACACTTCACGGAGACAAATTGGCAAACACAGCGATAACGCGAGGAAAAAAACTCAACGTTCATCGCGTATTAAACGAACTAGTGGGAGCACTCTGGATCGCAAGGTCGGCATAATTATAGTTTATTCAGTAGACTTTCCCCAAAAACCGTCTCGTACTTTTTCTTTATTTTTTACATAATTATGTAGAACAGTCAGTTTGATAATGTGGACATAAAAGAAAATTTTTTACTGTCACATATATATGGCGCTGGTGGCGTACGTGTTAAATATATCGGTTTTTGTAAACACGCAGACACTCATGCAGGCACTGGGTGGGACTCTCTCTCTCTCTCTCTCTCTCTCTCTCTCTTTGCGGAGCATACAAAAAGAAAATTTACGCGATACAAAACAGTCTGGTATTTTTTATTTATTATATAAGATGCCTGTAAAAAGATGCTTCTAGTTGGAACAATGAGTGTCGTATTACCCTTACGCTTTAAGCCAAAGGAGTCCGTGGTAGATTGTAACAAGAGCTATTACGACGTAGTCAACAGTACGAGAATTTAATTTAATTTTTTCATAGAAACATAGAATTTATTTTTTCATAGAAACATAGAAAAACATAGAAAAAATATAATTAAATGATTTGCTAGATCTCTCTCGGTGGTTTTCATAATTTGAGAACGATTGAGAAGGATCTCAGTGTTGTCTACATTTTTAAATCATGTATCAAATTTTTATTTCTACGGGATACATTCTTACATAACTGCGGCCAATTTTCCCTACCCCCGAGCGAGAATTATTGATACTAGGTTAAAAAAAGCGCGCGGAATTGCTTACAATCTTGATGTCTACAGCCACAAAAGCGTGCTCACGAGGAGGAGGAGTTCGAGGATCAGTCGTCCGGACGATACGTCTTGCATGGTAGGGACGAATCGTCAGAGCCGTTCAATCGCAAAAGAAAACGCCCGAGAGTATTCAAGCAAGAGTCCGAGTCCTCCGACTACTCCGACGGAAGCGATCGCGAAAGTGATGTGGACCGGAAGCACGTTTTTCGAGGTTATTTCAATTACATTTACCTAAGATATCTGAGAATTGTGGGCGACTTCGCTCTCTTTCGCGATCTCTTCAAAATATTCAAGTTGTAACATACGTTACGATGAAATCAGTCCAGATCACAATTCTTCACATTGAGTTTCAGGACCACAATCGGCCATAGTTATGCAACCCAGTACACAAAATTATGTAATTTTTGATGGATGGTCCATACATCTTTCTACATAAGACGAAAAAAAATCCTCATGAATGCCTAAAATTAATTTATGTTCGGGGATTAGATTCACCGTAATTCTTGTCTGCAATTTTAATTTCTCGGTTCTCCGTGAAATTCGAGTTAGCATGTTGCAGTGGTTTTCGGCAAGGAGTTTGGCTAAAAGAAATGAGAAAATCTCTACTCGTCTAACGTGCGTCCAAAACGGTTTGGACACATTTCAAGCGCTGAAGTTGCAGCACTTCAAGATGTCAAAATTGAGAAACACTGCTAATGTATTTGAGTCGATTGTGACAGGAGTCGAAGTGATAGACAGTACATTAACACTCGTTAATACGTCATCACGTTATTTTACATTTATTTTCATATCCTACACCGTCACTTCGGCTTCTGTTTAATCGATTCACACGCAAATGCGCCAGCAGTGCCTCTCAATTTTGACATTTTGTGCCGCTGCAACTTCAGTGCTCGAAATGCGTCCAAACTGTTTTGTGATTCAGTGTTAAAAAAAAATTACATCATCCATGTAGTCAGGTAGGCGTTGTGTGTTGCCCGACGGCAATCTAATCATTACTTTTCACTCGAACGAACGTCGGGCGTCTTTGAAAGTCGAGAAATACGTTTCAGCGAGCACGTCGTCGTCGTCGCGTCGTCGGGAACCCAAACGGAAAGAGGCGCGCGCCAGATCGAGGGGCAGGTCGACGTCGCGAGCTCGTAGCGCGCAATGTGTGCGGCAGCAGCCGATCGAGGAAGTAGAAAACGACAGACACCGGTGCGACGAGAATCACGGGCTGGCGAAGCGCGACTCGGAGCGTCAAGAATCGAGCGAGGACGCCGAAGACCGCCAGCCGAGCGGCGCCAATGACGGTAACAGCTTGGAGAACTCGTGATGCTGATTACCCTTATTATGTTGCTGCTTGGTCTATCCTTAGGTCGGGAACACACAGAGAAATGTAAGCAGCAAAACTCAAGTAGTAAGCCGATCGACCAGCCACAGTCGATGATTCTTCTTACGGCTCGAGAATAGTCGATTGGTCAACTTTCCTACCTGCTTTTAGGCCTCACTACTTACGTTTCTCTGTGTGTATCCGAGCCCTTACTCTCCAACTAACGCGACATTATCTTCTATTATTTCTCTGGTGTCTGTATATCAGCGTATCTATTGTCTTCTACCTCCTTGTGAATACCTTTGAGTAATAAATTGTGTAGCGTTTTGGTAGCGCAAAGGCGACTTTGTGAATGAATATTTACATTTCGACACGGAAGTTGTTCATCATTACAGATACTCACGCTTTCACCGAGGCATCTTGTTTCATTATTTCTTCGGCTAAGTTTAAGATTAATTTCAGGGCACGGCAATGTTGGACAAGAGGTCAACTGTTTAATTTTAGACGTTACTTAATTGCTGTATTCTTATGTGCTTTGTCAGTAATTATTGAGTGCATTGGTGATCAGATTAGACTTTATCGTTGCAATTGACAGATAATCTTCTCTTCAATGTAAGCGTCCAATGTCCATAGCGAATCGGCCACTATTGTGCTATAAGCTGCATGATGATTGATGCTAATGCGACAATGAGAAGCACTTGTCGCGAAATTACTCGCTATTACAGTCAGTTGTATCAGCTCGTCTCGAAATTGTCGTTGACGTGCATTTTGTATTCCACATATAATGGGTGACGACCAAAAATGATAACAGAACGTTTCTTGTATGTGTGTATTGTGTGTGTGTGTGTGAGTATGTGTTGTGTGTATGTACATATTTATATTTATATTTATATTTAGTAGAAAATCCAATCACACATGTATAGAAATCTTTTTGCAAATTTTTCGTATACTTTTAAACTTCTAAACTTAGAAACGTCAAAGGCTGCGTTCGAGGAGACGCTATTTAGCGCTATGAGTGTGCTCTGTCCTTGTTTGTTCCTGAAAGTTGAACAAGGACAGAGGACGCTCATAGCGCTAAATAGCGTCTCCCCGAATGCAGCCTTAAAGACGTTTCTCAGACGTCGGAATATAAGACATCATTAAGATATCTTTAAGACGTCTTTGAGACATCTTATGTCTCAATTTTAGACGTTATAGTATGGATATATCAATTAGATCCACTAATTTTGCAACAGTTGCGAAGCAGTTTTCTCTGTTGGACGCAATGATAAATACACGATCCGCCCGATAGATAGCCGTAATATTGAGTTTGAGTGGGAGTTTACGCCGTAATCGCGCATTCTCGCGCCTTTTGTCGCGAGAGGGATTGGTGCGATTTATGGAGCACAGCAGCAAAGCATGGAAATGACCGTCCTCGTGTATCCCTAAGCGAGGCTCGTTTGCGACCGCGGTGCCTCTATCGCCGTCGCAGGAGGATAGGCGCTTTCGCTTTCTCGTGAATGGGAGCCGATAAATGTATTTCCAGACGGCGGGAAATACTCGAACAAAGTGCGGAAGCTGCTCTCGCCGGGACGGAGATATTATCGGCAGCGAGCATCGCTTTCTCTCCACGGGATCACCCTCGCCGAGCGCGAAACCACCCTGGCCCGGCGCATTTTTCAACACGACTAGAGCCTTCCGATGTTTATCGGTTTAGCCAATGGCGTTTTACCCTCGCTACCGAACTTTCCCGCGACCAGCTCCTGGCACTTTGTACCCTCTCTTCTCCCCTGTGCAAGCTTCCCGTACGGGACGATCGAGTTTTCCAAGGAATTTTATTTCGCGAAGTTCCTCGGAAAGCTTCATTTCACCAGCGTGTGTCGGATGTATTTGTGCAAATGCAAAATGCAGAAGCAACTCGCCTCATTCGCGAAAATAACACATGCATGTATAATAATCGTGCGTTTGTCTTGAAAAAATTCCAGTTTTATAATGTCGATCGCGCGCGGACTTGTTCGGCAAAGGACTAGCTAATAGAAAATATTTATATGGAAAAACGTCGATTCAATCCTCGACAGAAAATATGGACCCGTTCGCCAAGCACGTATTACCGAACGTTCTGTGAGTAAGCTCTCTCTCTCCTCCTCTCCCTCTCTTTCCCCTTTTCTCTCTCTATCCTCGAACGGGCACTTGTATTTACACATTGTCCATTTTATCCGCTTTTATTGGCTTCTGCTGCACGAATATTTTGGACAGAATCCTGATCTTCGTACGTTAAGCAGTGCTTTACGTCTATTTCGCTTGTCAATTATGTGTTCCGCCAAACTACGCTTCAGCGCTTCAGCACTTTGCGCGTCAAACGCGCGGCGCGCGTTTCCGTTATTTGTTTGAGCGGCAATTAAAACTTTAATAGACACGAGTTACGGTACAATTGATATTAATAGTGAGATAACACGCGCCAGATGACACGGAGAAGCGGCATGAGCAAACGTCGACGAACAAATGTCAATTTTATGCCTCTCACGATATCGACGAAAATTGTCGACAAATTTGACGGGAGATTAAAAAACATTTGCGAACAGAGAATTGTTCTCACGGAGTTCGATAGGCTTTCGAAATCTGTAGTGTACTTTTATCGATGCACGAACTTGTGTGAATTTTTGTTATTTGTAAGAAAAAAAAACTCGCGTTGTCTTTTCACTGTGAAACATAAATTTATGCTTCGCTCCATCCTCGATGAACATTTCACGTAGCAAACGGATTTCGCTATTTTCGAATGATACACAGCGTTATTCTAATTGATCATTAACCAAAGAATTCTCGTTAATTGGGGGAAGGATAAAGTTAATCTCTTTATTTTAAAGAGTTTTAAAGAGTTTTAAAGAGTTTTAAAGAGTTTTTTTTAAAGAATTTTAGATTGTCGATGAATATACTGATATTTATAAAATGTCTCAATGCACACATTGACAAATTTTCTCATAAATACGTAAACTTTTCTGTCTTTTCACTAGAGTTTTCAAACGAGACGTCCATCAATTAGCGTGTATATATCGTCCGACTATATCCAAATCAACAACAAGCAAATGTTCTTTCCGAGTTTCGACATTTTCGAGATTTGACAAGGACTCACCAGTCGCGCGAATCCTCGGCATCCTGAAGCCGTCGCGAAGCTGATACTGACACGTGGTCACGATGACAGCGGAGATGTCCTCGACATCCTCAAAGCTGGACAGGAGTAGAACGGGGCTGCGTCGGGTAGAACCGTCTCTCTGTCTCTCTCCTTCTGTCTCTCTTGGATGTCCCCGTTGATCATCGTCACGAGGACATGACAGAGGGCACCCGTTGCGTGGGTGGTCTCGATCGCGCAGGGTGCCGTAGGATCGCGAGAAGCACGTGGCGAAGCCACGACGCGCACTGACTACCCCGAACGGGACAGCTGACGAAGGGTGGAAACGCAGCACTTTCCGCCCTCCGCTGTCAACCCCCACCAGTTTGCGCCCGCTTTCTCTGTCTTCTTCACTACCGTGTTCTCTCGATCATTACATCTCGCAGGTTTTATTATTATTATTACATCTCGCAAGTCTGATCTCGCCGTACCGATCTAACGCCGACGAATCCGTTTGTGAACGAGAATGTTATTGCGATTGTCGCGGAGCGCGCTCCACGCTGGTCCAACTTTCGAATAATGGATGTGCGCGTCGTACTGTCAAGTTTCAATGTTCTTTGAATCTTCTCAAAGTGAGCCTGTCCTCGAGATTTTGGAAATCTACTTTCATCGCGACGTCGACGACACTGAATGCATTATTACACATTCACATTGAAATCTGAATATTTGTTGGACAAAATATCCATGATATATTCATGGCCGTTGTGTATCGTGTCGCACACCTCGTTCCTGACTCTTCGTAATGAGCGCAATTATAAATGATTAAGTCGTGGTCTTCTATTAATCTTGGATTATTTTGCTCCGTTTTGAAGATGCACCGGTCCGACGAAAGTACTGAGTGATGTATGATCTCTGATACGTTCTTGTATGTATAGTAAAAGATTCCGCAGCAAGTAATCAATCAATTGAGAGCGTTTGTCCATATTTCTAGCAAGCAAGGAACGATGATTTGTTTTGCGTTCGTTCCGCCGAACTTCGCTTTCGTTCTCAAGGATGCATTAGGGAACTCCTGTGCTTTTGTGTCAGATTCCTGAGTCTCCAGAGGAAAAATTTCACTCAATGATGACATTTTTGAAAGACACACGCCGGATATTCGTTATGACGAGATTTAGCAGTGCAACATACAAAATGTTCTCCGGACCATTAAGAACGTGACTCACAGTTTCTCCGAAGTTCTTCTAGAAATCGGGTAAGCGATCAGATATTCAATTGGCGGTCCAATCCAAATCGAACGCGTGCTCGCGCGAGATGGGACGCGTAAAAATTTCGAGTATCCGCATGATGGTTCCGCTTTGGCACAGGGTATACCGCCAAGTCCACAAGAACAACGAACGAAGAGGGATTATCTAAGATTAATGGCCTTTTTCCCAGAGAAGACAGGGGAATCCTGTCGGTGGGGCGTTTTCAAGTACACGCTGGTAGCGGGCAAATAAAACCGTATCCGCAAGTAAACTACGCTGGTTGTCGGAAACGCGTCGGACATTACGGTCACCCGTTGTCTGCCGGAAATATCGCGACGTCGTTTTTCAGTATCGGTTGAGTTGGCGCGTATCAATGGTCAAAATTACCCGCGGGTCCATTCTCCGTTGCCATAAGTTTCCCAGCAACGCGATGTGACTGCGCATATAGGGGATGCATTGTGGTGCCGCGTTGTCTTTTACATCTCGCACCGAAGCGAGATCCATTTTGTGTAAAAACAGATGTGCGAATATTGCGCTGAAACTCGACTAATGGCGATTAACAAGCGTGATTAAGAAGATGCTGAAGCTGAAAACTTTACCGACAGAACACTGACATTTTGCTGCAAAGTTTACATCGTATTGGTTACACAGAATTACAAATATTTTTACGCAATGAAAGTACATGCAAAAATAAATAGGACCATTGCTCGATATGTGACGAAAACGAAGAAGAAATTTTTAATGTAAAATCTCAAGCTGTCAGCGTAATATTTGCCTAATCCAAAAGTTCTACAGCTTGTACATACTGAAAGTGGATGCTGAAAGTGGAAACAGAAAAATTTTTAAGAACATTGCTCTACTTTCGTATTTGCATTTCGAAGCTTAAGAATATCAAAAAAATTTGCAAAAATATTTCTACATATATATGGTTTTTCATTGAATATGGTCAAACAAAGCAACACACATTCATGTAAGTTCTGTATATATAAGAAATACGAAAAGGATAGTGTGATTATGTTAGTGACGATCGTCTCTGCATTATCGACATTGTTCGAGTTTGTCATCGATACTTAGATAATAACACACATACATATTTGTACATACGGGTATCGTGATCGGAAATGTTGTCTGGCTTCTTGTAAGTTTAGAAACCTATCCTTCTTATCCAGTGAGATAGCTTTTTTGTTGGAAAATAAATTCTGCTATTGGACGAGAAGAATAGGTTCTCAAATTTACAAAAAAAGAAAAAAGAAAGAAAAGAACAAGATAATTTTTTCAATCATCAGTGTACAGTACTGGTATTATAATTATTGTATCACACACACATCTTGAAAATTATTTATTCGTGTGTGGAAATAGTCTCAAAGTATTCTACTACACTAAAATGTAAGTAACATAATCAAAATATAGGAATAACATAATCAAAGTGACATAATCAAAAATCATTCTCAAAATTTCATATTGTACAAACTCTATTCTTGGGATCCTCTCGAGACTCCACGTCGTAGCCTGAGAGTTAAAAAAAATAGGAATGACATAATCAAAACATACATTTAATATATACATACTAAAGTGTTTTCACAATCCTTAAAATTTCATATTGTACAAAAACTATTCTTGGGATCCTCTCGAGACTCCAGGTCGTAGCCTGAGAGTTAAAAAAAATAGGAATGACATAATCAAAACATACATTTACACTAAAGTGTTTTCACTTTAGTGTAAATGTATGTTTTGATTATGTCATTCCTATTTTTTTTAACTCTCAGGCTACGACGTGGAGTCTCGAGAGGATCCCAAGAATAGAGTTTGTACAATATGAAATTTTGAGAATGATTTTTCAAATACCAGAGATTGTAAATAGATACTTTATTTAAATATTACCTAATGCCTTTTGTCATATTTTTCTTATCTAATAAAAACAAAATTGAGGATTGCACGCTGTAATTAACATTGATAAAAATAACGCCTAAGGATTAAATTAATATCTATGCAAAAATCAAGAGCTGATGATTGTCATATATTGTCTGTTTTTATGTTGTGCGAGCAAGTGTTATTTTTCAGCGAATCCTTTTATCTCATATCTTTTATCTCATGTTCCAAAACGGGCCAAGGTGCGAAGGACAGTAACTGCTGTTGTAGTAACAGCTACTTTTAATGCTATGTCTATTGCACTTGAAATCGCATAAATTTTCTTTTTAACCGTAGAATATGTGGATATAGCAACCATAATAGTTTTTTTTTGCGTATTGTTGATTTTATTCATCTACGCGGTAAGAAAGACGAGGAGAACGTTTCCCCTCGCTTCTTCCCATTACAGCCAAGGACGCGCTTAATTGCGCGAAATCCGAATTCGCGATACGATGAATTGAATTATTAACGCACACGTATGACGCATCGCTTCGCAATGGAGAGAAGTCCGTTTATCTGGAGGGCCCTCGCTCACGAAAGATTGACACGCAATTAAATCACGTCCGATACGATCCTCCACATCGAAAATTCAGCGCTGCAGAATCCGCTGCCATTGCGGAGCGCGATCAAAGCCGGAGGGGGACTTCGGTAATCACCGTCGGCGAAAATATCGACGATACTTTTCGGATTTGTTTACGTCAGTCCCGGGAACGGATTTTTATGAGGCCCCCGAAATCTTGTAAATGACATTTCGAGTTCGCAGGTCGAAAATGCAAATGCGATAGTTGTATCAGTCGCGCGATAGAGGTGCATCCAGCACGCCAAACAACGTTACGCAAGATACCGCATGATATGAGGTATAATTTCGCGAAAACAACACGTTCGTTTTGCGCCGAATGGCGCGCATTTAATATTTATGTACACGATTCCAGAAATCTTCTCCATCTGTCGGCAGAAATTGTTACGGGATACGAAGCGACAGAAATATATGTATGTAATATCTACACCTATAGGAGGTACATCTTTACGCAGGAACATCCGGTTGTAGAAATTCTGATCCCTCAAGAGGACGTGCGCGGCATATGGTCATTCCGTGAGAACGAATGGCACGCGCTTTCTCTGAAATCCCGATATAAAGTAGCCGCGTGCCTCCTTACTTTGTCGTGATTATTCCGCCCGAAATTCCACGTCGACTTTGCCGTTAAATCCGGTCTTTATTGCGCCGGGGTATGATTAAAGAGCATCGTGGGATCGCCAGTGAGGAATCACTGATGACCATTGCACGGAGAGATTTTCTCTTTTTCTCATATAAATACTTTTCTGTTATTCCGTGTCCACGTAGACCAGGAGTAGACTGCTAGTATGGTTTATCTTCCACCAGCAGTGAATAGTAGATTTCACTAGAAACATACTAGATTTCGCTAAAAACATAGCAAGTGCACGGAGAGAATATTAGAGTAAAAATTGCAATGTAAGTTGTGTAGTCCGGGAATAGATTGGCATTATTACAAAAATTATAATTTATGGCAATTTTTGCCACTGACAGAGAAAGAAATTATTCTATAAAAAATTAACAAACGAATATTTTCGATCAAAATACCGATGAAATTTTATACTCAATCTGGATTGCCGATTAAATTTTATAGTATATTTCCGATTATAATGGCATTTCATCAGATAAACTGCTCAAAACATTATGAACCGATATATCTTATTAGATGTTTTCTGATCGGATACAAAAATTTATCGGTATTTTGATCGGAAATATCCATTTGTTAGTTTTTTATCAGATAATTTCTTCGCAGAATGTGCAATTTTTCTTCGTTCTTGAATTGTATTTCCATACTAGTGTTTTTTTTCCCTTTTTTTACATACGTATACGTGGCATTGTCTGTTTACAACTGATATTTAATAGCTGTTATACAGCTCCCGCAGTATAATGTTAGGCGGTCTATTATTACCACGTCAATTACATGGACGATAATTGAGGAGTGTTGCTGGCGTGCGCAAGAATATCGCAGCTACACACTGATTTGCCTATCTAATGACAAAAGTTGCCCTCAAGGTTCTTGAAATATAACCGAGTATTAATTATGAATTTTATCACGTAATCTCGATCAACTTATCGATCATGTAATCTT